CAATACCTGTTAAAGTGTTTTTAAACTGTGTATCTTTCAAAATATTTCGAATCTGTGGCCCAACAAAAATACCTTCTTTAACCTTTGCCTCACTTAGTCTTGGAAATTTCTGACGCAGGTATTGAAAAGCTGACCCATCTCTATCTAATGCCTTGACAAAGTTTTTCATTAGGCCCAACTTGATATGCAGTGGTCGTAATAAATTTTTTTTCGAATCTACTAATGGCATATGCTGTACATTTTTTTGACCTGGCTCTAGGAATTGACGAACAGGCCAGTTTTGTCTGGTGTAATGAAGTGCCTTTGCCCGACTGTCCCATTCACACAGAAAACAGCAAAACTTTGTGTAGCCTAGCTGCAGTCCAAGTAAAAGTGCAACAACTTTCAAATCGCCACAAATATGCCATTGGTGCTCATCGTATTTTATGCATGTCAATAGGTACTTCATATTGTCATATGATTCTTTCATGTGAACTGCATACCCTACAGGAAGAGATGGTAAAATATTTCCAATATGCAATAACACTGCCTTTAAACTCAATGTTGAACTGTCTATAAACAATCTCCATTCTTCTGGGTTATAGTTTATATTTAAAGCCGCCAGTAAGCCGTTAATGTTACTGCAGAAAACCAAGTTATTCTCCATATTGAAAAATGGTTCTAAGTCTTTGTGGCGTTTACGAAAAACACATACCGAAACATCGTCTTCTAACAAGTTTCACTGCTGCAGTCTTGATCCAAGTAACTCTGCCTTACATTTTGGAAGTTCTAAATCTCTTACAAGATCATTTAATTCTGACTGTGTTATTTTGTGCGGTTGGTGGCATGACGTGCTCGGTATAAAATCAGGATCTCTTGACGTTGATGGCATATCTTCTTCCTGACGAATTACTCGATCGCCATGATCTGATTCGTTTTCTGATTCGCAAGTGTAGGATTCTGGGGGTTTTGGAATAGGATTTTCGTCACTGTGAGGCACAGGTCTCATCGCAGATGGTATGTTTGGGTAGTTAATAACCGATTTTTTTTTCTTGGACATACCTGTGGCTTGTCCAACACAAGGCACCATGCAAAAGTAACAATCATTAATATGATTTGTAGGCTCTCTTCAAACCATTGGCACAACAAAGCGCATAGACCGTTTTTTGCCATTTAACCAGCTCCTCAGACTTGAAGCACATGTATTACAGCAGATGTGGGGTGCCCACTGTTTGTCTTGATCACCTAGTTTACTACCGAAATAAAGCTGATATGCCTTTGTTATTAGTGGAGTAATAGACCGTCTCTGAGACGCAAAAGTCACATCACCACACACGTAACAAAACTGATCTGGATTGTTTACACACTTTCGAGACATCTTGCATGAACGCTGTCAGCCAACTGAGGAAAAAATGGCTAATATAAAACAATATAATGTACACGTATGTATAACGTAACACATCATCTTTCCTTGCCGAATATAAAAATGTAGCACGTGCATTCTTGTGAATTACAGTATATTAACACTGTCACAGCAGGAACACATATAATTACCGTATCTCTAAAACTTGAACTAATATTGAAAAAATAAGTTTCATTCTGGTTTTAGCACATTAAAACTAGTAATATTTTGTTGATTTTATTTAGGATATTTTTTGGCTGTTGATCAGTGTAATATAGTCGATTTGAACAATTATATTCAGGAGGCATTTGAAAACCAGCAACACTGTTTTGCCATTTACTTTGACATTAATAAAGCCTTCGACACGGCATGGAGATATAAAATAATCGAGAAGCTTAAAGACTGCGGCTACAATGGACATATATTAGCTTTCATTGCCAACTTTTTGGGTGAAAGAAACTTCCAGGTTCGACTGAATGGATCACTGCCCAAATTGAAAACACAAGAGAACGGTGTACCACAGGTATCAATTATCAGTCCGACACTTTTTCTAATTACAATCAATGAAATCTTGTATAATATGGAGAAACCTGTCCAAGCCAGACTCTACGCAGACGACATGATAATTTACGTAAGAGGCAAAAATATTGAAACCAGTGCCCAACTCTTAAAAGCGCAGTTATCGAAATTAGAACACTGGTCCAATCAGACAGGCTTTTCGTTTTCTCCCAGCAAAACAAAATGCATCATCTTCAGCAAAAAATGTGAACAGAATAATCCATCACTACAGATACATGACACATCGCTAGAGTACACGGATGAAATCAGGTTTCTAGGAATAACATTTGACAGATGTCTAACATGGAGAAAACATATCACTCAGCTTATTCAGTCTTGCCAAAGGAGAATTAATGTGTTAAAATGTCTAGCACATAAGCACTGGGGAGCAGAAAGCAAAAAACTTTTAACCATTTACAGACTGCTAATACGATCAAAAATAGACTACGGGTGTATCGTGTATGCATCTGCCAAAAAAACCATATTAAAGCATCTGGATGTGGTACATAATACAGCTTTACGTATCATACTAGGAGCCTATCGAACAACACTGCTGGAAAGCTTATACTGCAGGAGAACCCCCACTGCAACTGCGACGAGACATTCTCAGTTCATCATATATCATTAACACAGCATCAAACCCAGATGCTCCCACTTCTAAAAACCTACGCTCCCTCATAGAATACGACAGAAATCCATTGCACATTCCACCACTACACAGAAGAGTTAGATCTCACCTAATACAGTTGAATATAAGCCAAATGCCTCAATTATATCCAGTCAAACTCTCAAACGCACCTCCTTGGGCTGTTCAGCTTCCTCGTGTAAATACCCAGCTAACAGAACTAGACACGCATAGCACCTCTAACGAAATAATACAGAGAAATTTCTACGAAATTGTTGGTAAATATCTTGACCACAAGCTAATATTTACCGACGCATCGAAACAATTATCAAACTGCTGAGCAGCAATAGTTACACCAACAACCATCAAGACCTTGAAGATTCCGGACTCAGCCACTACTCTGACAGGAGAGCTTTACGCGATTCTGGAAGCATTAAAATATATAGAAAGCACAGTTGACCAAAAATGGATAATCATTTACAGACTCACTTAGCTCAATATACTCCATCAATAAGTTATATATAAAAAATCCGATATCCAAGATAATACAAGAAACAATTACTCAACTCACCAACAATAACCAGATTATAGTACTTATGTGGGCTCCATCGCACAAAGGAATAGCAGGGAATGAAACAGCAGCTACAAACGCTAAAAGAGCGGCAACGAACAACAGCATCTGCAACCTCCCAGTTCCAGCATCAGATATGAAGGTATATGTAAAAGGCAAAACAATAGACCAGTGGAATAGTGTGTGGAAGAACAACCCTTCCAAACTACAAGAAGTGAAACCCAAGCTCAATGAATTGCAAACAGTAACAGAAAAAAAGGAGACTGCAAGTGATAATAACCCGCCTCCGACTGGGCCACACAAGAATCACCCACAGCTACCTCATCACCCGTGACCCTGAACCAATGTGTTTTATGTGCGAAAGCGTTTTATCGGTAAAACACATTCTAGTGGAGTACCCAATGTTCGAACAACAAAGACATCAGTTTAATCTCTGTGGTAAAACTCTAAAAGACATAATTGGAGCCGCCTGCAATGTCCGAAATCTAATGTTGTTCTTGAACCATTGTAATTTAATACATAAAATTTGATTCATGTACACATTAAATCCGCTGCTAATAGCTAATTAGCTGATGCAGCTTATGTAAATAAAAAAAGGGTTTTTCATTTTTCTGGAGAAGACATTTAAAATAGATGTATGATCCATAGCAAGGCAATTTGCACTTTCAGACAAACCGATTTCGCTGTGAATTAATAACCTCTTATACGCTTGTTCAAAATGCCAAGCTGTTGGATTATTTGAAAATCCTCCTCCTGCAAAAAACATTTCCAAATGATCCTGGCTTAATTTATAGGTCAATAAAAAATTTCATACTTCACCTGTCACCAAATCCTCGAATAAGTTTTTCACACTAACTAAACAAATTATCAAGCCAAAAAAACCTGTTTTTCTACTGGTTTCTAATATATTAACACCTTCATAGGCTGTTAGTGTGCTTAAATATCTAATAAAATTTGTTAAAAATTCCTCATTACCCCTATACAAAGGTTTTTTGAACTGGGTGGAACCAAAAAAGTTTCTTACATTTAACAGATCAAATATATCATTCATATTTCTGAAATATGTTGCAGTGGCTTCTGCATATTGAAAAGAACGTATATTTAAATCTTTTGCACAATACAAGGCATCACTCAAACATCAACTAAATGTTTGTACTGCTAACTTTACTCTCATTTTTTCTTTGTAGTAGTTCAAGTGTCTCCTCCTCAGCTTGGTGGCGCAATCTAGACCTGTATCCTCTTGCAAGTTGACAAGCTGTTTGAAATATTCCCACCTAATATCATTCCCTCCACCAACTTTTAAAACACCATAGTCAGTTAAAGTATTGCGCACCAATTTAATCATGTGACAAGCATCTAATATTATATGTATTTTCTCATTATTGATAGAGTTTATGAAAAAAGGCTTAGTACGTGGAAAATGCACCTAATAAATTGGCCATAAGGATATTGGATGCATCACCATCAAAAGTCAAACTCTTAATTAACATTCCAGTGCTTTCTAATTGCAGTAAACAGCCCCTCACAAAGGTAGCCTTTTCTTCAGCCGATGAATATTCTACTAGAAAATATGCTATTGGAACTTTCCATCTACTGTTAATATAAACAACCATGAAAACTAAAGCTTTTGTAGCCTTTGGGATCTCCTCACTGCTTTGCATTGCAACACCAATATTTATGTAGCCTACTAATCTACTTCCTGTCCAGTGTACATGCTGACGCATATACATTTCATCCATCATCAAGGCACCAACAAGCTGTTTTCCCTTTTGTTTATCAACATCCACCTTAATTTTGATAGCACGAAGTGCTTCTGCACTATATCCAGGTGTACCATCTATACCATTTTGAAAGTGTGTGTGGATGTGGTAGAACATTTTTTTAAAATATTTTTCTAACATAGCTGTATGCTGATGATGAATAAAAATTCTATGTTAGTGCAAAACACCTTAATTCTGGGCTATACTTGTTAGATTTTCCTTTTTTTAACTGCCTGAAAAGCAGTTGCTTTTGGGTTTCTGAGAGACTTTCCTGTAAAAGCAAAATGTATGCATGCATCATAATTTTATGCTAAAAACTTCATGCACTAAATGTAAAACCTAAATACTGTGATGGTAAAATGATCACTCTAGCTAGTAATCAATAGATATTCAACAGAGTTCAACAATTGAAATGAAAATTTTACAAATGAAAATAAACAACAACATGGTAACAATTGTAGCAGCAAAGTATCTGTTCATCAAATGTCTACCTTCAATACTATTGACTGAGCTGCAGATATTCTCTTCTCCTTATGTAGTTCATATACCAGACTATTCAGACTTTTTATTTTATTCCTTTGTCTACGAATTTTACACTGATTGTACTTGTTAATTTTTTTGTACTTATGAACAGTTTCATGAGCGGTTTTCCAAAATCTCTTCCGACGCTTCACATTATTTAAATCAGAAATTTTGAAATCCCCAAAGTATACTGGTGATCTTCTGACCCTACAAACAAAAAGAGGTTGTAACAAATGAGAAACACAAAGTTCAATGACAATTACCTTAAATTGCATATGTTTGAAGGTTCACTTGATTCTAAAAATCCTAGTTTTTGTGTTACGTTTGAAGGACCAGCTGCCAATATATTTCCATCATCCTCTTGATCGCCATTTTCAGGTTTTTCAACTACTTCACCAATAGCCAAAGTTTGTTCTAAAAATAATTACGTTACTAAGACCCACTTCATCATTGTAAATATCTTTTTTAAAAGTAGAAAAGTTAAAACCTTAAGCTTAGACTGGGAATATTTTAAAGAACATACCTGTTGCTTTTGAGTTGGATTCTTCATGTTTTCTTTTAAAAACCCTTCGATGGGTAGGTTCTTTCTTGAGATGGGCTGGAAAATCAAACACAGATGGCACAGCCACCTTTTTAGTACCTTATTTTCATGAACACTAACTTCATAATCCTCTGGAGTGAAATGCTTTTCACAAATTACCGTTGTTGTACTGGGAGTGAAGTTTTATCTTCTTATACCATGTACAACTTCCTCATGTTAGGATCTCTAGGTATCCTAAAAATCCAGATATTTCCTCGAATTACCAATTAACAGGTAATTCTCACACAAAAATGAATGAGATGATTAAAACCAACCTGTGAAACTTCATTTTCACATCTTTTCTGCGTCTATTGCAACAATACACCGCACTGCAAGATTCAACCATTTTTAAACAAATATCACATAAAACAACAGCTCTTGAAGGCTGTCCGGCATAAAAATGTTTATAATAATTGTCGCAAACTATCACTATTAATCTTTAACGTCACTAAAAACAAACATTCACCAAAAATCCTTACAACATATATGGAAATACCACAATGGACCACGATGTTTTGCCAATGTTTTGCCCTGACTAGCGCTATCCTTCTCGTTTCTCATTCTAGCCGCAATGAATTCGCGTTACGCCTGTTCCATCAGTGTTGACAGTTCATTGGGTAAACGGCATCGTGCTCAATGTTTTTATTTTGAACAAATAATTAAAGACAACGAACTGTGTGAAGTTGATAAATAATTAAGAATGGATGTACCACAGAACATTGTGGAAGCTACTGGCAACACATCTAGAAAGAGATGTGTGGATAAACAAAACTGGAAAAAAACGTTATCAAAACAGTCCAGGTACGTTGTATTAAAATAATTATCTCAGAATAATGTATGCCTCTTTCCGATTTTTATAATTATTTATCTTCAGGTATGCTCCCAGAGAACCACCAAGTCTACCCAAGAAATGTGAAAAACATAACTCAAAGGCTTACCAGTGCAGTAATTTGAGCATGCAAGATGTAAGAAAATTTCATCAGACATTTTAATCATTCAGAAACAAAATTGATCAAGATAACTTTTTTCTGCGTCATACGATCGCTCAAACGCCTAAAAGACATAGACAAAAATTGCAAAATAGTTCTCGTAAAGGTGTGTCTATTGCTAGAATTCAACGAAAAGACAATATGAGAAGCACAATTCCGATATGCCAAGACGCATTTCTTACCATCTTAGGCGTTGAGAAGGATCGAGTTCAGAGATTGGTGAAGAAAAATTTGGAAACTGGACAAGGTGCTACTGAAATGAGGGGTGGTGACACTCGAATTAAGGCATACTCTAAGAAATTGGAAGCTGTAAAAAGCTTTATTGAAAGCCTTCAAGTAGTCGACTCGCATTATTGTCGAGGAAAATCATCAAGACAATACCTCCCAAGTAAATTTTCAATTAGAAAATTGTGGAGAATGTACGCCGAAAAAGTTCAACATGGTTTGAATGTTAAGTATCATTATTTTCGGAAAGTTTTTGTGACAAACTATAATATTGGTTTTGGAATGCCCGCTACTGATGCTTGCTCTAAGTGCAAGAACTTAAAGAATGTATTAAGAGAGACCGTTGTTCAAAGGAAACAAGTACCTTGATTGCTCAATATAGAGTTCATAAACTTAAGGCTGAGTCATTTTTTGAATTTTTCAAAACAGAGGAAGAAAACGTAATTAAAATGTCATTTGATTGCCAGAAAAATATGGTTTTACCACAAGTACCCGATCAAGCCGCTTATTATAGTCGGCAACTCTACTGCTACAACTTTACAATATGCCAAGGACATTCTGGAGCGTCTCAAAATAAAGATACTGTTTTTATCTATACATGGCTGGAGAGTGAATATGCCAAAGGCTCGAACCAAATTGCTACAGCAGTGTTTCATCGTCTCTGCAACACGAACATGGAATCATATGACACCATTAAACTTTTTGCAGATGGTTGTGGAGGCCAAAATAAAAATTGTACTATAGTAGGGATGCTTTCCAGCTGGCTAAAATCCAAAGCTCCACCAAATGTCAAACAAATCCATTTAATATTTCCTGTGCCAGGGCACTCCTACATACCCCCTGATCGAGTGTTTGGTCGCATAGAAAAAGTTGTTAAAAAATGAACACTATTGTAAAACCAGACGAATACGAAAATATTTTTTCAAAATTTGGGTCAGTGTTCCGCTTGGGTATTTTTGTTGAAGTTGCAGATTGGAAAACAGAGATATCCAATGTTACTAAGGCACCAGCTCAATAACACTTCAAGTTTGCCGCATGCAAACGTATTCTAATTAAAAAAAAAATCCGAAAGGATCAATAGATAAGGTGAAGCAAGTTATCGAAACGATCTGGGATCATTCAAATCGATCCTCAAAAACGGATAGACTCTGAACAATATCTGCCCTGAAATAATCCCGAAAGATCAAAATATAAATATTTTAAAGCTGAATGATTGCGACAAACTTCTTATGAAGCATTTTGGAGAAACTTGGAGAGACTTACCCGATCTTCAGTTCTATAAAAGTGTCATCAACAGTAATACTAATATTCACAACTTATCTGAGAGAGAGAGGAAGAACAGTGCGAAGATGAGGATTTAGATTTAAGAGTTTAGATAATTTGTATTATAATAATATAAATAAATAAAAATAATTTCTTTCCAATATAAATACAAGCCAGTTTCTTATTTATTTCCAAATACCGTCTACTCCATGTTGTATTTCCAAAAGCCAGCTTAACCAAACCTCAATATTTTTTTACATGTGTAATCATAAACTAAAATAGGTTTGCGTTATTTTATTTACTTCTAGTTAATCATTGACAAAGTATAACATTATGTTTCACCCTCTCAGTATTTATTAAAAACTCTTATAACATTTTCGTGAATTATGCAATATTATGTTTGATGGATAAGGCGCTGTCTTTTTTTTATATCGAAGCAGCCGCGCAGGCAGAAGCCTAAATGCCGGAACACCGCGGCTGCTATGATGATCCCAAAGAAATTTTATTGAGATTTTTGAACTGCCTAAGGTTAATAGAACTGGGAAAAGCTTCCTCTTGTAGATTATTCCACAATCTCGACACCCTCGGGACAAAGGAGCGGTCGTATCGGCCGGTTCTGGATGTACGAAGTTCGACACGGTTAGGATGGAACGCCCAAGTCAGGCGGGTCTGTCTGGCAGGCACATCGCGCGGCGGCATCATGGAAGAAAGCTCTGAGGAGCAAAGCCCGTTGGTATAACGGTAGAAAAGAGCCAGATCGCCGACAGCCCGCCGGTGCGAAAGAGTCCCGAGACTGTCTGTTAGAGAAGAGTCATCGATCAGTCGGACCGCCCTCCTCTGGACAGCATCGGGCATGGATAATGTAGTCGGGGCGGCAGCACCCCAAACGTGTGAGCAATACTCGAGGCTAGGCCTTATCTGGGCCTTGTATAGAGTGAGAAGGTCATGCGGAGAAAAGTACTTCTTAGCCCTAAACAAATAGCCTAGCTTTTTCCCAGCAGCTGCAGCTATTGACGAGATGTGTTCGTGCCAGATCAGGTCCTCGGTGATCTGGACTCCGACCAGCTCTTTGGCAGAACTCGACCATCCATCGAAACCGGGTGAGTGCAGGGACGCTTTTTGTTCGTCAAAGTACAGTACTGCGTTTTGGAAGCATTGAACTGTACAAGATTATTGCATCCTCAAGCAGTGATAACCTCCAAGTCTCTTGTCAGAGAGGAAGTCATCGCTAGTCTTCTTTTTTTCAACTCAGCGGCAGAGATCGGCTTGTCACTCTGAATTCCTGCATGTAGAGTGCTGTCATCAGCGAAGCTGTGGATTGGGTTGATCGTGCAGGAAAGGAGGTCGTTGATATGTAAGAGAAACAGTGTCGGAGCCAAGACCGATCCCTGGGGAACACCCGCGTTGACGTTGTGGGATGAAGAGGAGAACCCGTCAATTACGACGGATATCTTGCGGCCAGAGATAAGTCAGCCACCCATCTGCAAAGCTTTTCTGGGAGGCCATAGGATGGAAGTTTGCTTAAGAGGGCAGCGTGCCACAGCTGATCGAATGCTTTCGTGATGTCAAGAGCAGCGACATGAGCCTCATCATATAACTGGATGAGTTTACTCCACAATTGAGTGGCGTAAGCTAGGACGTCCCCTGTGGACCGTTGGCGCCGGAAACCATACTGCCTGTCGCATATCAACCCGTGACGTTCGAGGTAGTCCAGAAGCTCGCGATTTATGCACCTCTCCATCACCTTACTTAAAACAGAAAGCAGAGCTATAGGCTAGTAGTTGTATGGGTCGGTCTTAGATCCCTTTTTTGGGATGGGTTGGACATGAGCAAATTTCCAGTTTTCTGGGAAGGTGCCGGATTCATAAGATATCTGGAAGAGACGCGAAAGAACTGTTGCACACCTCTTCAGTACAATGGCAGGAATCAAGTCCGCACCACAAGCTTTGTTGATGTCGAGCAACAAGAGCACTCGTCTTACGGTCTTATGCCTGAATGTTACCTCCCGCATAGTGTAGGGAACTCTTTGAATTGACGGCACTTGGGCGTTGGAGGGGACCGTCCATGGTGGAGTTGGCAGCAAAGATCTTGGCTAGCACTTCCGCCTTGGCCTTTGAGTTGAATATCCTGACACGTAAGTGGTGGAAGGCTACTGTCTGAGAAGTTCTTTTCAATCTGCTTGGCCAGCGTCCAGAAAGACCGACTGCCATTGCGCTGCGACATTACCCTGTGCCTAACTTTTACATCGTGCTGGTTTTTGGCATTGCGAACCGCTGCTTTATATTTGTTTCTGGATTCAACGTCGGCTTGTCTGTTCTCTACAGTGGGGTTTTGTAAGTAGGTTCTGTGTGCCTTGATCTTCTGCTGGCGAGCAGCGTCACACGATTTGTTAAACCAGCCATTGGACCCTGGTCTAGGCACTTTCACTGTGTGTGGGATGTATTCCTCCATTCCGACGTGGATAATTTCGGTTATCGAAGAACAGACAACCGACGCATCCGCGTCAGTGAGACAGACATCTTTCCAAGGAAAGCTAGAGAAGAAATCTCTGAGCCCCTCCCAGTCGGCATGTCCGTAATGCCAAGTTTTGCGGCCTGTACGAGTTTCTGCTGACACAGCGGGTTCTGACCGAAACCTAACCTCCACAACACCGTGGTCTGAGTTACCCAGGGGGACAGGACAGCAGTGCTGTAAGGGACAGGATGCGTGGTCAGAAAGAGATCCAGCAACCAAAAAAGTAGGGCTGGTCACCAGAGTCACCCCTTGGGTAAGAGCGAACGCTTCGACTGCACGATCTGCTGCGTCGGTCTTGTTTGAGCCCAACCAAAGCTCATTATGGGCATTGAAATCACCAAGAAAAACTACCTCTGAAGCGGGACGATTGATGTTCAGGAAGTCGATCTGGACGGCGAGGTATTCGAGTAGGTCATCCCAGTTATGGTCTGAGGGAGAGCGATAAAGGCAGCAGATACATTTGGGTGATGTTTTGGAGTTGAGGCGAAGCCACAGAATGTCCTTCCGGCCTGATTCCAAAGAAACATCTCTGGAGTAGGAAAGACTGCTGCGGACAAAAGCCACAACTCCCCCGTTCTTTCTCAGATTGGAGTACACCTCGTAGTTTGGGAAGTTAAGATGGTTAATCGGCGCAGACTCTGAGATTTTTTTCTCCGCCAAGAAAAGCACGGCGGGACGATTGGATTGCAGGTAGTGATGAACAGCATCAATGTTGCTGTTCTGGAAATACACGCCTCATATCAAGTCTTACACTACAGGAATAGTCCAAAACTAATCCAAATATCTAGCAGGTCTTTTAATGACGCGGTTTGATCTGCGTATAGTACCTCGCACCCTATCACTTGGACTTGGTAACAATGAGGCACTTTTGCTTTCACTATCACTATTCAAATCACTCTCGATAGACACACTAGGCACATTTTGCCGACCTGGCGAGCCTGTGGGAGCCGACTCTATACCTTGTGATTCTGAAACATATGGTTGATTATGTGAACCATTTAAGGGTTTTAATAAAACCGGCATCCGAGCCTCTTGTGGCTCTGTTTCATGACTCAAGTTCGAAATGTCTCTCCAATCTTGAATGTAAGGCTCTCTTGACTCAGTTTCCTGACATTTTCTCAGATGGTCCACATGTATATGTCAAACAATGTTCCCTACCATTACAATATATCTTATATATATATATATATAACTGACTTTAACTCTAACAATTACATAAACCTTTTCCCCCTCTTCAAAAGTAACGTATTTTGACACAGGTACACTATTATTTTCCTTTCCCACCCTATTGGTTTGTTTGTCTTTTACAAATTTATTAAATACTGGTTTTAGCATTGAAAGTCTAGTTTTAGGTTTTTGCCTGAGCATTAGCTCAGCTGGAGATACTTCAGTCAGACCATGTGGAATGTTTATGATATAGAATAAAAAATTATCCAGTTTTTCTTGATTTTATTTTTTGGATGTATTTATATCGAAACCCTGCTTTATGAGGTTATTTTTGAACGTCTGAATACTTCTCTCAGTAATGCCGTTGGATTTTGGGTGTACTGGAGGTGATTTCAAAACGTTTATGCCTTGAGCTTTACAAAATGACCCAAATTCTTCAGAGTTGAATGGCCGTCCATTGTCTGAATGAATTTCATCAGGTAACCCAAAAATAGAAAACGTTTGTCTTAAACATGTAATGACGTCACTGGCTGTTGTTGACTTTAGAATCCAAGCATCAACCCACTTACAACTAGCATCAACAAGAACCAAGAACTTCAAACCATTTTTCATAGCCAAGTCTAAATGTAAACGTTGCCATTTCCTTGGGCACCATGACCATGATGTAGCAGGTGCATTTGGTATGATACTTGCCATCAGCTGACAACATTCACACATTTTGACCATATTCTCAATGTCCTTACTGATATCCGGCCAATAAACATATTGACGTGCTAACATTTTAATTTTTACAATTCCCGGATGTTGTTCATGTAATAAATGTAAAACTTCAGCTCTCAAATGATTTGGAATGATGACATGATTCTTGAAAATCAAGCAGTTCATATCTAATGTCAAATCTTCCCGTACCTTAAAGTATTCACATCAATTTGACTGTGATTTGGCCAGCCATGTAAAATGAAATTCATTACTTGTCTTAGCACCGGGTCTCTCGTACTTTCTCTTGCGATATTCTTGGCAGATAAGAGGCTATTTTTAACTACGGAAAAATAATTTATACTCTCCCCACTTTTTGAATCCTTTAATGGTCGTCTAGATAATGCATCAGCATTTTGAATCTTTTTCACTTCCCTATACTTTATGGTATAGTCATAAATGGATAATGCCCAGCGCTGACACATGGCGGCTGCTAAGAGTTCTTGCTAGGTGAAAAAATATTTTGTAACGGTTTGTTATCATTGTATAAGACGAATTTACGACCAAACAAGTAATTATGAAATTTCTTTACCCCAAAAATGATTGACAACGCTTCTTTATCTAGCTGGCTGTAGTTTTGTTCAGTTTTAGATAATGTGGCAGATGTATACATAACAGGGCGTTCGGTACCATCAGGCATAACATGAGCTAGTACTGCACCTACCCCATAAGGAGACGCATCACATGATAAAATAATTGGCAATTCTGGATTAAATGTCATCAAAACGTTTGATAAAGTTAAATATGACTTACTTTTTTCAAAACAATCATTAACTTCCTTATTCCAAACCCAAAATGAATTGTTTCTTAACAGTTTGTATAAGAGGTTTAGTTGCTCAGCTAGCATTGGTATAAATTTAGAATAATAGTGTAATAACCCTAAATATGATTGCAGCTGTTGTTTGTTTTCTGGCCTAGGAGCATTCATAATAGCCTCCAATTTGCTTTTGGAAGGACCAACACCCCTCTCTGATAATGTGTGACCCAAAAATTCCAGTTTTTTTTTATAAAGTTTTAACCTATCCAGGACCTTTTCCAACTTTTCATGCATTTCCAAATTAGTTTTTGCTGTTACTAGACAATCATCTAGGTAACAGTCAACACCATCAAGATCTTTCAAAATCTGATCAATAACCAACTGAAAAATATGAGGAGTTGATTTTATTCCGAGAGGTAATCATGTATATGCATATAACCCAACGTGTTTGTTAACAACCAACAATTTTTTACTTTCATCACTAACTTTTAGTTGCAAATATGCATTCTTCAAATCAATAATGGAAACACTTTACCTCCAGACAAGGATGCAAAAATTTCCTCTGCTGTGGGTAGTGGATATTACTGATTCTCAATACAGGGATTGATAGTTGCTTTGAAATCACCATAAATATGACCCTTTCCATCAGGCTTTGGTACCACTATAATTGGGCTAGCCCATTCAGAAGTGCTGACTGGCTCCAAGATACCATCCTTGATTAAATTTCTTACTTCTGTTTCCACACTCTCTCAATACATATGGAATTCTGTAAGGTTTACAAAATTTGGGGACTGTATTTTCTTTTATCTTTATATTTGCAATAAAACCTTTGATACATCCTGGTTGTGTCAGTGACCTAGCATATTCTTGTTTAAACTTATCCACTATTTCAGAGTTAGACACATCTAAGCGATTACACTCAACTTTTTCAAACATCTTTTGTTTCCATGTGGGATTTAATACATCCAACCAACTTCTTCCTAACAAACAAACATTGCTATTGTAATCTACAACCTTTGTCTCTAACTTACGAGTTCTGTTTCCAAACTGCACCTCAACCAATGCTTTATACACACAGTTTTTTACTTGCCCGAACAAGGTATTGACCCTACAGTTTTGCCTGGTTAGAGCTACATCTGGAAACATCTCATGAAACATTTATATGGCATTATTGTGCTACTCGTCCCTGTATCAATTTCCATAACAACAAACCATTTATCAATATACTTATCTTAATTGCCTTATGAATATCTGTTACCGAGATCTTAAGATATCATTTACATAGAATGTTGCCCAATAAGCTAAATCACCATATAACTCATCATCCTCATCATTCACTTGACTTTGGATTTCCTCTTCTACATCTTCCTGACGCACCTTTTACACTGTCTAGTATAACTGGTGCTGCCAGATTTAGCTCCTAACTTTGATGGTGACTGATTATTGCCGAGTCTTCGAGCAACATTGAACTTATTGAACTCACTGCTATTACTGACTTCCCCACCTCAGGGATTTTGCTCGCTCATCAGCCAATTCCATGCTGTGTGCTATGCTTAGGGCTTTATCAAAGTTTAACGACTCTACTGTGAGTAATTTTCTCCTGATTGCTTCAGATTTAATGCCACGCATAAACTTATCACTCAAGGCTTTCTCTAAGAATTGACCAAATTTACAGTTTTTTACTGCGCTTCTTAGTTTTAACGTGAACGTGGAAATGTCTTCCTGACTTTCTTGACGTGTACAATAAAACTGATAGCGTTCTGCAATTACTAACCTTTTTGGACTATAATGCTTGACTAGTGTCTCCTTTAATTCATCATATGACTTATCCTTTGGCAATGCAGGTGAAAGCAAGTCTTTCAATACCTCGTGTGCCTCTGGCCCTATCAGTGTTAGGATCATACAGACTTTCTTGTCTTGTTCAACCGCATTACATTTGAACAGCTGATCCATCCGTTCCATATAAGAATTCACGTCCATTTCTTTGGGCCTGTATGGCTCAATACCACCAATCATAGCCATATTTTCAACGATTTCGGTACCCCTTGAACTTGACTGACATTCCCTCACTTCGACTTTGGGAATAGACTGTAAATTACTGTACTGGACTGCCTATAATTGTGACCACATCCTCGTCGCCAAATATTTTGTGTATTACACGCAATAAATGAAGGATTAATCACAACTTATGCTTTATTTTCTAACCACTATCATGTGAACACATCGCCCCGGCTGGACTTGACATGATAATGACATTTGGTACAATGACATGACACTGACATCATATTTGACAGGGAGCATAGGGTTATAAGGATACAACACCTGTAGCACTATTTTTGCGGTTTTACAAAGCCTATACTCTGAAGTAGAATTGATGGTTTTCATATTTTGAACAATGGAATGAGAATTCAGCTGGAATGTTACACACAGTCAGATTTTTTATGATATTTGCGGCAATTTAGGGTTACGGGATGAGTTTTTATTGTATACTTTTTTGTCACTAAATTTTTTGAATGTTTTCCATATGAAAGAGGGATTCGTATTTCTGTTTATGTTGGAGCAAAATTTTTTAAATTGAGTTTTTTTTTCAAGAATCTATTTGTCTATGCATTGATTTTTTTCGCCTCTATGTAATTTTCTAAACTAGATTCTAATTTAAACTTTCGTATGGCCTTTTTCCTTTGTTCAATTTTGGCTGTGCATTCTTCATCCCACCATGGGCTCCTGGATACCTTTCTGTTAGTATCTTGCTTGGTATAGGTATAGGGGATTGAAAGATCAGCTACTAACTATGTTTATTGTTTGAGCAAGGCTTTGGTAGTCTACATTATCCGCATTCATCCTGAAGTGTTCGTTTATCAATTGTTTGTATAAACTCCAATTTGCTTTTTTATAATTTCTTTTGGGTCTTTCGTTCGTTGATCTTAGTAAGTGTTCATATTTACAAATGATCGGGAAGTGATCGCTATTTCCGCAGTCCTGGAGAATACCCCAATGTGTGGTAGTGGCCAAGTTGTTCGACACAATGGTCAGGTCAAGAGGACTCGGATTCTCCCCTGGTTCTATGAGTCTGGTTGAGGAACCATCATACATTATGATGAGGTTGTTGGATTCTATGATTTCATAGAGAGCTCTACCATTGTAATTTATCTTAATGCTACCCCATGCTGGGTGATGGGCATTGATGTCCCCCACTAGCACCACTTCGCCCATGAGCGATTTCAATAGTTCATTGAATCCTTTTATTGTGATTTTGTAGCTTGGAGGGCTATTTACATTAACCTAATTAATATTATGGACTTTAGTGACAATACATTGTAGGTTTCCAGTGTTAAATGTGTTAGGGCGTCTTATGTTTTGATAACAGATATTATTTTTTATAAATGTAGCTACTCCACCTTTCCCATCTTCTCGGTCTGCTCTAATGCATTGATAGCCTCTAATATGCGAACTCTGTTGTTTCATAGCCATGTCTCATTTAAAAAAATGATGTCTGGTTTATGCGTTTCTAAAAATTGAATTAAATTCACGCTGTTACTACTGTACCTCCTCAGATTCCACTGTAAAGTGATTAAAGTGCCTTTGCTGTTCATTTTGCAGTTGTGTCTGTTTTGTACTACTGAGACTAGGCTATGTAACACTTTTTACTTTTTTTTTGAATAATGTATATGTGTACCTGAGTTTGTACACTCACTTTTTCAGTAAGATTAGTTGTCAGTCTGGTCTGTATCATTAAGTACTATTTGTTTAATTTTACTTAGGGATTCAGGTTTAAGGTATTTTATGTTTTCAAAGATTTCATCTACTTATTCTTTAGTGTAATTACTGTGAAGGGCACTAGTAGGCGTCTTAGATGTGTTGAATGGTACTTCTGTATTTGAAGCGTTATTGTGTACTTGTGCTTGTACTGTTATTGGTCCGTTACTGTTTTGTTCTCTACCATTTCTGTTTATTAGGTTCTCATTGTGTCTTTCTCTATTGTATCCGGTGTTTTGTTCAACTATTCTTTTTTTGGTGTTTGTGATAGTGCTTGTTGAAAGGTTCTTTTTGTTTTTATTTTATTCGCGAATTCAATTGTTCTTCTTTGTGCTGTATTTATTTGACTTGTTTCTTAAGTAGAAGGTGTATTCTGGTTTCTGATTGATGGGAAATTTCTATTATTGTAAGCTATGTCGGTTGTGTTAATCATATTACTTTGCGATTTATACATTTTAGGGCACACCTCGTTTGCCTCAAAGTATGAAATATTTTCAAATACCATAAGCTGTTTTATCTTTTCCTGCCTCTTGTACTCTGGGTAGTCTTTCGAATTGGATCTGTGTTCCAGACTATCGCAATGATAACATTTTCTATGGCAGTGAAAGTCTTCTCCCTCTTCATTATGTTCAGGATTACTGCAATTAAAGCATCTTCTTTTTCCCTTGCACTGGGTCGTAGTGTGACCATAAGTGAGACAACAGTAACATTGAGTGACAGGTGTCATATGTAAATACGGGAAAGAGAAGATAGTAAATAGAAACATCTCTAGGACGTACTGTGCTTTGAAATGTTATTGGTATGGTACCAGTGGGCGTGTATTTTGTAATGCCGTCTACTATGGTTTTTCTATTGAGCCTTTTTGCATCTAACACTTTCATTGGAGATTCGATAGCGCTAATGATCTCTTCAATTGGGAAGCTTGTATCTACTTGTCTTATGATTCCCTTGCATGTTACTTTGTTGAATGGTTTATATCTATATATATATATATATATATATATATAATATATATATTTATATAAAAATAGGAATATACTACAATGTGTAGGTTGGCTCTTGTTGTGGACTTCGTGTGTGATTTTTTCCCCTCTCCATCTTTGTTTCCTCAGGTTACACCCGTATCCGGATGGATGAGCATGTGTATCTACTTTTGTAGTAGCAAATGTGCATTCATTTCGGGCCTGATGAAGCCAACCAGCAGAAATACGTATCGCTCGGGTTACCTATCCTATTTTCTGCGCGAATCCACTTTCCTCCTTTTTGCGGATTTTACCCATTATTTTCCTATTTTTTTGTTATATACATTTCTCCGCATGATTATTTTCTCTTTGTAGATCCTTAGGGCTTGAAGTACCACAGTAAGTGGCTATAACGGGCCACGTGGTTGTGGTTAGATGTCGCCTTGAAAATTCGAGGTCTTCTAGCTATTTTATACTGCAATGTGTAGGTTGGCTCTTGTTGTGGACTTCGTGTGTGATTTTTTCCCCTCTCCATCTTTGTTTCCTCAGGTTACACCCGTATCCGGATGTATGAGCATGTGTATCTACTTTTGTAGTTGCATATGTGCATTCATTTCGGGCCTGATGAAGCCAACCAGCAGAAATACGTATCGCTCGGGTTACCTATGCTATTTTCTGCTCGAATCCACTTTCCTCCTTTTTGCGTATTTTGCCCATTATTTTCCTATGTTTTTGTTATATACATTTATCCGCATGATTATTTTCTCTTTATATATATATATATATATATTTTAATCTGTCTTTAACTTGTCTTATCATATTTTATATAATTTTAACCATTGTACCATGTATCCAGGTCTCACCATGTTACTGGACGTTTCCCTCATCCTATACGTAAACAACAATTAGCAACATCCTCACATACTACTGTAAGTTGAGTCAATTTAAATTCATTTTACACCCTTGTTGCTACTGTTATCATTGTAATTGCAGCTCCTGATGATGATGGCAAAGTCCATTGAAAGCTAGAGAGAATTAAAAAAAGTATAAAGAGTCCTCTTTGCTTAAATTTTGTCGAAGTACCCAACAAAAAGCGGAAGCTTTAATTTTTCACATATATATATATTCTACCCATTGTGTTCTTTATTTGCGAACGAGTTTGCTGACTTGTAGTCCAGGAACTCTACTCCCAGCCTATTCCTTCCCTTGACTTGTATGCGTTTAATGTTGGTTAAATTTAATTGAAATATATCTTTTACTAGCTGTAGATACCTTTTTTGACCTACTTGAATCCTCTTGCTTTCCATTGCTTCGACAAAAACTATGAATGGTCCCTGTTCAGAGTTTTTGTAGCATATTTCTTTTTTATCTATAGTGTTTTTTTGGTTGACATTTTCTTTGTTTGTGACCAATTCTTTTTTCTAGCTCTACTTGTGTAAGGTTTATATTATCTATAGCACTAGTTCGGGGGGTGACTCTCCCCTCCCCCAGAGTCCGTTTCCATGCCTCTTCACTTTTATGCGTTCCCCTTTTTTCTTTTTTTGTGATAGGTAGTACACAAAATAGTATGTTTGGAGTAAAAAGTATAAAAAATGGGTTTTGACTCACCAAGAAGGGGATAGGGTTACTAACACACAGAAATTGATTAGTATTTTTACCACACCACTTGTTTTGGTTTGTCTGCTCTAGGGTTGCCTTTCGTCTATGGTTTTTGTGTTTTTGCTCGACACGCGTTCTACGGCGTTCGAAACCAGAATCGAACCATAAAATCAATATACCGGCCGATTACGTGCATGCTTGTGTGTCAGCTAGACAGAATCCAAAGCCTTTTAATGTAAGATCTATTACGTCAAACTTTTTCAAGAAATTCGATATGCTTAATTACTACAAATCTATTCGACCTGGTAGGGAGATACAGAGGTGAAAATATGTGCTTTAAAATATGACCCATCCGTAAAAATATCTAATTAATAAATTAAGGCACACCGACTCCTGGGAGCAACTAAATCAGAGAATTGAGCTGTCCTCACGAAGACTAGCACATTCTTTACCAAACCTGTACCAATAGAAAATTAAGATCAAAAAAGAAAAATATGAACATCTCCAAATTTTGAAGAAAACTTTACTTCAAGATTACCATATCTTCTACGACAATCTTACCTACGAAGAAAATTGATCTTTTTACCATGTAATATGTTCTAATATATTAAATGTAATGAAAATACAATCATGATACATTCTTGATTTTGTCTTTCTGGAAAAATAAGTATGTCCCCGACCGTTTTTATCTACGTGTGGCCGGTTCACAATCTTCAGGAAAGTTTTTTGTCTCTGATAGGGAGATAAGTGATTTTCTCCGGAAGGCGACGATATTGATCAATTACATATTAAACACTTACCATGTATGTCTAATATGTTGCAGCAGTTCTTATTTTTTTTATTTTATACACTACATAGGTTTTAACTGTTGGCTACCATGTCTAATTTACTCTGATGCTCTTATTGGCAAAAAATTAGCAATTTTTTTCAATACCAATTAAGCATTGCAGTAAACTGGACGTACCTATTAGTTCTCATTTTCAATGTAAATACCTTCCCTGCAATTCTTCGAAGTTTGATAAAAATGTTAGCCAGCATTTTTTTTATTTCCAGATGAGGAACCTTAGGATTCGTTCTAAAGAATATATGATTCCTTTGTAAAACCCTTCTGATCAATTTCTTCTACAATAGAGTTCACTTTTAGATACTTAGCCTGATCAAATAAGTTTTGTGAGATTTCTAGGTGACATAATTATTGCATCAGGGAAGTTTTCTGATTTATTAAAGCAGTTTGACTATTTCAAATTTTGTCTCTAAAGAAATTTTTGTGTATGCTGAAAATCATCAGATATCATAAAAAAATGTTGATGGCTTAATTCTAATATGAGGTATCAACAAAACGCGAGTTTTACAACAGTATGAAGAAAAATCGATTTACTCAAGTTTATCTTATCATTTAATGCTTTTATTATCACATTTGCGATCAACTGTGTCTGTTTTCGACAAAATAACAGCAAGTAGAGACCATTCCAGCCTCCTGTGTGGCTTAAGAACTATTAGCATTTGAACACTATGTTTGATACAACCTTCGTGTATTTCACAGTTGGTTACATCTTTTTTGCTCTATATAAAAAACACAAACACAAGTCTTGAGTATGCTTTAGAGTGTCATTTCAATGAAGCATATTCACGATAGTGCTAAAATTCAGCTGCTCAGTGTACTAAACGCAGCCTATGTATCAGAGAAAGGCAGAGTGAAAAGTACTCTGTCTGGTAGTATGGGTGATAAAAATCTGAGTTAAGTGTGAAAGAACAGCAGAAATAAATATCTGGAAGACCCATTAGCATTGGGATTGTTGTACATTAATTCTAATTTATCATATACCAACAGAACAGTTACAAGATCTAATAGGCTGTAACCAATCTTAACCGCTTTATTGTCAAAATATCATAGATATATCATTAATTCGGTCAAATAAAGAATGCACTGTCTACTAGTAGCAGTAGTAGCAGCCAACACAATCACGTTCAGTGAGCAAGTGAATACTGAGGGACAGGGTTTATTAGAACCGAAAATAACAGCTGATTTAGATTCGACATATTAGAATATGCACAAAAAGGTGTTCTTATTAGCAGGTTGGCCACGACAAATCGTCACATGATAGAAATATACTTTTTTATTTGAAATCCATCAAAATCTTGATTTGGACATTTTGTGGGACACGTCGTATTAGAACTAAGCCATCGCGTGTAATGAAGTTTGTGGGAGTTACAGATTTTTTTGATCTTAATACTGGCACCATTATACAGACCTTTCAAGATTTCTTCAAAATTCAGTTATGAGGATTAATTTTTTGTTATTACTTTTTCATAACAGGACCGATTAGCAGAGAATAGATATAAATATTTTTCTGTCTGTAATAGGGGGCCAAGGATTACCGGACAGATGCGACAAAAGTTGTACCTGCCATGTTGTATCTGAAAAACTTTCTTTTTTTGAAGTTTTTCCGTGATTACAATACTTCCCTGGCATATTGACTTGACTGGAATGGCGAATTTTAGGCCTAGGTATATATGACTATGTATGACTCGCGCAACAAAGTGTTGCTATGCGATTCCGCTTGACTATGACGCAGGTGCCAGGTCATCCCCTTGTCAAGAGTGACACTGAGATACTTAGCAGAACTTTCCCAGTGTACCCGAACTCCGTTCACTGAATCCTCAAACGCCGCTACGTTTTTTAGTACAATAGCCTGCGTTTTCGAATGATTAATTTTGACCAGCCACCGATCCGCCCATTCTAATAACTCGTCCACCGCACTTTGCATCCTGTCGTGAACCAGATTCCCAGAACACGACTGGGCCACTAGAACAATGTCATCAGCATAGAGATAGGCTTCACAGTTGCTGGGCAAGGGACATAATGAAATATAAAGTGAATATTGGTTCAAGAACCGAACCATCAGGGCCACCGGCTTTCATGTGTCGGGATGTTGATAGAACGTTAGTTGTGATCCGAAATTTCGTACACCCAAGGAAGGATTTGGATCAATTTACAGAGGAGGCCCATTTCCCACACCTTGCCAAATGCCTTTCAGACTCCCAGAAGTAAGATGAGAGTACTTTCGTTAAGTGTGAATCCCCTGGTTACTCGCTCACCAAGGCTAACCACCTGTAACTCGGTGCTATACTCAGACCGAAAGCCAAATTGTACGTCAAGAATCACATTGTAGTCTGACGAGAAATCTTTAGGGTGACGTAAAATCGCCTTTTCAGGCAGCTTAGAAGGAGCTGATAGCAGAGTAATGGGGCGGTAATCCTGGAGGAATATCGAACCCACCTTCTTTGGAATCATAAAATCAGCAGTCTTCCACGCCGCTGAGAAGTACTGGGTCGTCAGCATGATATCGGTTATTGTCACGAGATAAAAACCTTTTTTTTTTCGTTGTCTGCTTCACATAGGATGCCCATATATTAATCGATATAGTTTCTTATTTTTCAGGATGAAGATGACGACGGTGATGGTTACAATTTTGAAATACCGGAACTCTTGAATATAAAAAGTGTCTATAAATATGACCCACTTGCGTCATTGAGACCTGAAGAAAAACTTGTTATAGACTCTTGTCACGATCTAGATTTGAAAAAACTGTTGCTCTTAAACAGAACCAGGCGTCTACATCTGATCAAGCTTTATAAGAAACTGAAAGATCTGCTGATTGAGTGCAAGCAGAATATTATTGAGAAACATGAACTTGTGAAGAAAGCCAAAAACATGAAATTACAGCAGATCTATTCAAAATCCTGGAGATTGGGAGCGCCATATTTCAAAGGTAACAAGAAGTCTACCGTAATATCTGATACTCATCATGTTCTCTACATAGTTTCAGTTGGTAGAACAGATTCAGATTGGTCGAGAAGTCTAGAAATGTTTATTCTATTTGAACAGAAATGGTCCATTATCATTCGAATATTTTTATTCGTGAAATTGTCGGAGTTTTAAAAGTCGTTGCTCTTAAGAACCAAGAGCGATTGGCAACCAAAACCCGACCACTAAGTTGGCGTGACTTAACATTTATTTAAATACAAGTGTTGTTACCAAAGAGTGCGGCCAGTTGCTCAACGGTTGTAGACACTGCGATAATCAGTTTGCAGTTGTTAACCAGTTGATGGAAGATGTCATTTATGGATGTCATTGTGACACTTTCGCTAAATTTCCACAGGGTTATTACGTAAAAAACCTATATAATGTCAAAAAACCGACAAAATGTCAACTTGCTGACTGGATAGATAGTTCCTACTGCGCAAATAGTTCATTCCGCTATTGCTCGCTGTGAGCGCTGTAAGCGTCATCTGTGGAGGAATGACTCAAAGATACGGTCAAGGACTAGCTGCAAGTCAGTTCTCTAGCATGCTTTGTTGGTTGCAGGTTGCCGAGATAATCTGTAGGGTATATTTCTGAGATGTGACAGAAAATTGGTTGAGTAGCAGAGTAGTAAGATCGCATCTGGATTATTGTGATAGTGATATTTGCTATGTGAGAAAATTATTATTGAATACGCCGCCCACAAAGTATATCTATTAGCTGAATTGGAATGACCCATCACACACAAAACATTTTCGCAGTGCCTCAGATCAAGCCGCTGATTTGTATTTACTACTTAACATCGTAAATTAAATTTCTGTATAATTTAGAATCACTGGAAATAAAAAATAATGCAAAATGTAATAACTTTTTCACGTTTCATAAATATTCCTGTCTGTGGCATATTTTCTTACCTTTGGTTGTAATATACTTCACCAACTAGGGATTTTCTTTTCTTATCTCTCTCATTTTTGGAATTCAGCAAATTTGCATATACATATGTATTGTAATTTCCAGTATGAATAACGAGAATTTCTAGTTGTGCATACATCTCAACTAAGTGTATTTGAGACAAGAAAATAATGGAATTATCATCAACACAGGTTATTAGCACACAAATCCTCACTATGCACATATATGCACTGCCCCTTCCTTCCAGCTATAGGATGCAACTTACAGCTTAGACCTCCAACAATGCCATCCCTGAAGCAGATGTTAGAGTACATCAGAGCCAAACATTGGTAGCTCAAGCGTCATGACGTCTAGGCAACACGTACAGCTGCAGAACAAGTACAGGTGAAGTTGGCATCTTGTAGAAAAACCTACATAATGGCACAAAAAATCTATATAATGTAAAAAAAAACGAAATGATGTCACTTTTCAAGATATGTAGTACCCCTGCCGGTCATATCCTCAAAAAATAAATTATATTAGATAAAAATAAAAATACTTCTCCACGTTTTTATGTTGCTTGACGTGATTCATTTGCAACAACAGAGTGTGAATAAAATGTGACATGCAAGTTTTCCTATTAACACATGGACGGATATCCTTAGCCAGGAAGTGGGACATCCTGTGTCATCCCATATAGATCTGATGGGAATCCTTGGGACATCTTAATGTTACGAAACAGCTGTACATGATTGGCTGGATGGTCGAAAGCAGAACAGTATTATTAGTTTCCAACGACGATTTGACAGATGACATATTTTTGCGGTTCCAATCAACAGTTCGTCGTGTCCGATTCTGGTAATAGATGGCTCTTGTGCCACGTGTATATCTATTGAAATGTTGGGTTGCTGTCATAATTTGATGGTGTAATTTAATTTGGCTGCGTGTAAAAAACATGCTTTTCGAAATGTACACAGTTTTCATAATTGTTTTTTTATAGATACGCAGTACTACTTCTCACCTCTAAATGTTGATACCCTTCGGAAGAAGGAGAACAACGAGTTGTCAGTCTATGATTTTGTGATGACACAGAAATGGAGTTCGACAGATTGCGAAAAAATGGTTTCGTCTGTTACGTTCAACTATAACCTCAATCTACAGATGGCGATCAAGAAGGAAATTGCCACCCTGACAAGGAATGGAATTACAAATGGTGACAATGAACAGATTAGGGAGCTCCAGCGGCAGTTGGAACGTTTCGATGATAACAAAACTGAGTGGCCACCATTGAACTCCGATGAACACATTGATTGGGAAAGAATTTCGGAAAAATTCCTCAACAGTACGTTCTCACATATGTAAATATTTTGCTCCCCACACCAATTGGCGAGGACGTATTGTATTGCGAACAAGAAAATTTTGTTTTTAGAGGCTATATATGTAGTTTGCAAAAAAAACATGTTCACCATTTTCGACATGTCTGACTGTCTGTGCACTAATCCTTAGCCCATTTATAACTCGGAAAGCACTGTTCGGATTTTGACGAGGTTTTGACACAGCATTACCAAGAACGACAAAGCTTTGTAGATTTTGAAAATCGGTCCAGTTGCGGCTGAGCTATGGGCAAAAAACGAAAAAAAAGCATTTTTGAACAACTAAATATTGTGGGTGGGGGTTGCAATGTGTGGAATAATATATATTGTTGCCGTTAACATATGTTATTGAAGTTTTACCCAGATATAGATTTGGAATATTTACAAAAAGAGTGTTCTCACAAAAATCGGTATCTTTTTACATGCCTCTGCTATGTGTCATCTAGCTCTCAGTCGTTTTGCTCCTATGATGTCTTACTACTAGCCAAATGTTTAATACCCTAACAGAAACATTATTTTAAATAATAGTCTGACAGTAACTGAAGAATATGCAATTTTCAATACAAATAGTAATAGTTTATTCGGGATGAATGCACAAGTAGTGCTTACACGAGTCATTTAGAAAGTGGGTGTAATGTTATAATAAATTGCATATACTGGAATGACAAAAAACTTATACTATTAGAGTTACAATTTGTGCTACTGGCGCCTTCGCCCGTCAAAGAAAAAAAAAGATATGCTATAAATACTATGTTTTAGATAGAAACAACACATGTAATGCTTAATGTAAAAGGACAATACACGAATAACTAAAGTAAAATTCTATTATGAAGAAAGAACTATTAAATCACTGCCCATGTATTCCTCAAACCTATAGAAACCATTTTCTGTGAAGTAAGTTTTTTATCTTTGATTTGAAATTATTATTCTCTAACTGTCGTTACCGACTGGGGAAGTGTGTGAAAAATGTTATGTCATAATAATTTGGCCCATATCTAGTTTTATTGACTCGGTATAAGATGTTTATGAATAGTATAACTGATTAAGTTTAACATGCTTTAAGCATACTAAAATACAGTGGCAGGGCAATGTAACATTATTTTTTTGTTAATATATGTTGATTTACATGGTTTTTAAATAATGAAGGTCCTAAAACTGAACCCTGTGGATTTCACTTGTTACAAGCAGTATAGATGAACAAGCATTTTTGTAAGAAACAGTTTTCTGTTGTGAAAATTGGAATTTATTAGACCTAAACTAGAATCGTTAAAGTGATAGTGTGCTAACTTCTCAAAAAGAATATCAGTTTGAACACAATCTGAGGACTTGCTGAGATTCAAGAAAGTTGAGAGGCAAACTTCATTATTCTCAAATATGTCATTCACAAACTCAATGAATAAGTTTATAGCTTATGTAGTGGATATGTTTTTCGTAAAGCTAAATTGAGACGCCGTGAATAAGTTATTGGAGTTATTTGGTCCTTCAATAGGATTTCAAGTATTTTAGAAAAAAATAGGACAAGGGAAATCAGAGTACAGCAAGAATAAGATTATATTAACTATATTTGTAGTTTAAGACATTAGACGACAACGTCGCACTCGATTGTAGCATCATACCTGTGTGCTCTATCACATTTTTGTTTCGTTGAAAATTCACCAAATTCGAGTTTTATGTATTTTCTTGATTTTTGAAGATTTGCAGTATGAATTATGGTGAGAGAAAGGTGTTTTTGATCGATCGATAGCGCGGAGGTGTTTCCACATAATAATAGTATTTATTGAAATGTAAATATATACAGGGTTATCCAAATTAAGTGTCCACCATTAGTAACTTTGTTATTAGTGAAAATACAAAGTTGTTTGAATTAGCAAACTAGTAGCATTTTTAACGCTGGTAAAAATGAGAAATAAAAAAAAAACAATTGAGAGTCGTTATTTTGTTTTTTTTTCAGTAAAATAACATTTTTTTAAATGGAAACCCCTGTATATTATATTTTTTTCTGTTAAAGCATCAAATTTTAAACAAAAAAGCTTACAATAACTTTTCTCCTAGGTTACAAATTGTTGAAGTTATGGCCTCCAATCTGAAACAATTAAATTGTATCGACAAACTTTATTTTCAACATCAACTTATAATCTTACAAAATACAATAATTTTTTAAAGAAGATGTTCGAAAACACCACCTTGTTCTTCAATACATTTTTGGGCACGTTTTTCAACTGCTCGAACTGTCTTAAGTATGGTCCTACCATCTATCTGGGTTATCTTTTCCCTAACTGCAGTCTTTAGCGCGTCAAGGTTATCGTACCTTCGCTTGTAAATTTGGTTCTTTAAGTAACCCCACAAGAAGTAATCAAGTGGGTTTAGATCTGGTGATCTGGGAGGCCACTGTATTGGGCCATTTGTTCCTATCCACTGATCATTAAAAGTAGTACTTAGAAAATGATAAGTACCTCTGGAGTTGTGGGCAGGTGCGCCATCTTGCTGAAAATGCAGATGATGTCTACTTATAAGATCCAATTCGTCTAAGAAATTAGTCAGAATTTCTGACATAAATTCCACATATCTTTCACCAGTTAGGGTTCCCTCATAAAAGAACGGGCCAACAATTTTTGAACCAATTATACCGCACCAAACGTTGAAACTGAAACGGACTTGTGGGCCTCTTGGATGTACTAACAAAAGATTTTCTCTTGACCAATAATGGTGGTTTTTTCTATTAAACATTCCAGAATTTGAAAAATTTGATTCATCTGTCCATAAAAGGTAACGAAAGTTATTTACATTTTGGCGACAGAAGCTAAGATACCAATGGCAAAAAACAAGTCTTCTCTCTGGATCCCCTGCCAAAAGCGTTTGAACTGGTCGGTACTTATACGGAATAAATTTGTATTTTTTTAAAATCCTTTGAACAGTACCATAACTGAAATTAGAGTCCTTGAGAATATCTGCTATTGAATTCTCACGATAAGCTTCAAAATATCCAATAACTGCAATTTCCGTGGCCTCGCTTATTATGAATTCTTTTTTTGCCCTTGTTTTAGCAAAAACATTTTCGTTGCCCCTAAATTTTCGATAAAGTCTCAGAAAATATCGTTCATACGGTTGAATGCGAGCGGGATATAATTCACTGTAGTATTCTCTTGCTCTCAAGGAGGATTTTCTGCACACTAAATAGCATTCTAACATATCACACTTTTCTTCATGGGAGAACATTTTTCTTTAAATTAATGACACAATAAAGCTTATAAACAAGTATTTACACTAATGTTTGACATTATTTGATTTTATCATTGTTTTCCAAAGCCTTCTAGTTGCGAGTATGTCCAGTTTAACAATTTGTCGCTTATCTTAATGCTGTCAAATCGCGAACGCCATGTTGTTTTCATAGCCGTCTTAATATTATAATACTGCAAATAATTAAAAATATTTATCGTTATTTTGACTTTATTTTTGACTTTAGCGGAAAAGTCATTATGAACTTTTTTGTTTAAAATTTGATGCTTTAACAGAAAAAAATATAATATACAGGGGTTTCCATTTAAAAAAATGTTATTTTACTGAAAAAAATCAAAATAACGACTCTCAATTGTTTTTTTTATTTCTCATTTTTACCAGCGTTAAAAATGCTACTAGTTTGCTAATTTAAACAACTTTGTATTTTTACTAATAACAAAGTTACCAATGGTGGACACTTAATTTGGATAACCCTGTATAATATACAATTATAAAATTGACAACATTCCAAAAGGTAAGAGGATAGGCACATCCGCCCCTAAGTAGTTTGTTTGATGAACATTTATTTAACATCAACTAGATAGAGTGATTACCATTTACATCAAATATTATGCAGAACACTATTTAATTTGTGGATTCAACTCTTTATAGCTGCAGTAGCTTTTTTCCATCTCATTTCTGACGTTTTAGATGGAAGGTGCTTCAAAAAGCTAAATAATCGTGTAGTAGACGTGGTGCTGTGTAAGTAAAGCATTTTTTGAATCTAGACGTTGAATATTGAAATAGGCATTGTTGCGTAAATAAAAACTTGGCGGAGTGAACATCTCTGAAGAACTAAACACAGAAACTGGGTAATTTATGTTTTCAAACTTTACGAGTAGATTTCCATACTGAAGCAGTGCACGATACTTTCATTCTAAAACATTTTTTCTTAAATAATAGCCAGTATATGTTCTTGTTTATGAATACATATCTTTGGAACATAATTGCGTGCAGCAGTGTTGCAATACTTGAATTTTGTGCTTCATTTCTTCCCTAAGAAAATTATAATATACTATAGTGTCATATTCTAGATGAGTGAGGATTAATGCATTGGTGAGTCTTAATTTTATATCATTGGTTCAAACATGTTTGTATCTCCAAAGTCACTTACATTTACAATAGCATAGTTGATTCATGACATGATTCTCAAAACGTAAATTTGTGCCCAATAAAATTCCTAAATTCTTAGTTTCCTCTACAATTTCAACAGTTGTATCACCTAAAACAATGTCTTGACTTAACAATTCTTTAAATATTGAAATATTTAATCTAGAGCCAATGCAACAAGCTTTAGTTTTCGAGGGATTCAATTTCAAACAATAATTTTTGTAATAGCTTACAATCATTTCTAGATTCATACTTAATTCGTGAATCAATGAATTAACTTCATTTGGCTTGTCAGAAAAGTGGGGACTATAATTGTTTATATTCGATCTATTCCGTTTTTCAGCTAAATACTCTGCGTTCGAATGCCGTTCTTTCTGGCACATGTACTTGCACCCTAAAATTAACAAGAACCAATGGACAGCTAAAGAAGACTCAAACTTGAAGCAGCTGGTAACGAAATATCGTTTCCAAAATTGGTCGGAAATAAGCGAGTCACTTGGTTCTAAACGAACCTGCCTGCAAGTTTGTAAGCATTACTTCACAGACCTTCACAGGCATTTCAAAGTGGGGTCATTCACACAAGAAGAGGACGACCTCCTGATATCTTTGATAAGAAAGTATCAAATGGGAAATCATATTCCTTGGGCGAAAATTGTGAAGCATTTCAAAGATAGAAAACGAACTCAACTATATCAACGGTATGTATTACACAATTACATTTCGCAGCTGCAAATCGTAACAAAACTGTGTTTCAAAATTGTAGCAGCCTGGAGTATGTTAGTGGTTATTCCTGTAGATCATATATAAATATGAGATTGTTACACTTTTATATATAGAAATTCGGTGGAATATGCGAGATCTTACAACAGTATGTATTATTAAAATTTTGCGCTATCATGACGAATAGTGCTTTTTGTATGTTAAAATAACAATGTCAATAACATAAGCTCTTATATCACTCATATCTACTTAATCTGGAAATATTCAGAAGAAAAACATATATTGCAAATACCTACATATCTATTTATTATATAAATCTCATACATTTTTCTACAGACAAATCAGTATTAACATACATCATTATGGACCAATGTTTTCATTGCCCAGCCGTTGTTGACACCTGCATAAATAAAAGATAAGGAAACAATTGAATTGTGTAGATATGCTTTTACATTTCACAGATTTCTTTTAAACGCGCTTTTATAAACTTGACCTGTATGTATGTAACGGAATCTTTGAACAATTATAATTTTCGCCAATTTCCAGAAGTTTGATTAAACTGAAACTTCGCACATCTACCAAGGGCCGATGACAATGCAATAATTTGATGACAGTTTTCCATTACTCTTATTAGGAACGCCAGGATTAATAAATTCTTTTATAGGGAAGTAAGAGAGATAGAGCTAGTGCGCGATCTGCGCCGTGATTCAAAAAGGCTTCTTATTCACAACAAAATGATCAGAACATAAATTTCAATCTATTTATTTTACAGAACAAAATTTGGTAAACAGCAAAGCTTTGAATTTAATACGATCAAAGAATTTGTAATTATAAAGTCTTATTGATTAAAATACAAATAACGAATATGAATTTGAAAAGAACTAATTGATAAATCGAACTAAGAAATGAAAAATAAATAATAGTTTAAAAAAACTAAAAGATCACGCTTTTATAGCTAACCGAACTAAAAAGTAGAAAATAATTTCTAATTACAAAGAGTTTATATTACAGCAATAGATAGTCGAACAGTCGATCATAATTAATGACCTCAAAATAAAATTGTAATAAAATTTAAGTTATTAACAGAATAATTCAATTCAGCGTAAAAAGCGTGGGCGGCTTGATATATTAAATGTTACAATTGGCAACTGTCCATGAGAGGACAGTTATGAAAATGTAGTAAAATGCACCCCACACTTTTTACTCTCAATTTAATTATTCTGTTAATAACTTAAATTTTATTATAATTTAATTTTGAGGTCACTAATTATGATTGATTGTTCAACCATCTATTAGTGTAATATAAACTATTTGTAATTAAAAATTATTTTCTACCTTTTAGTTCGTTTAGCTATAAAAGCGTGATTTTGTAGTTTTTTAAACTATTATTCATTTTCCACGGGTACTCACAGGAATTTTTCTCAGGAGTGCTCATCATCGTCAAGAGATAACTTTTTGAGAAATTGTACCTGCCCCAAAAACCTTTTAAAGAGCAAAGGTAGCAAATTTTCTCAGGGCGGACAATACCTAAAAAATCCTAAAAGTTGCACACAAAATTATATGCAAAGTTTAAGGTTCAAGTAGATTCTAAGGAGAGGCCACGCCATTGACACCTCTCAGACAACATTTAGAGTCCAAAATTTACGCACAATTTGTACACGTTTATTTTTTTATGCAAATCGATGTACATGTGTTACACAAGATTCAAAATAGCTCAGGTATATTCTGTTGAATCTAGATTTAATGTTGACTATAAATTATCGAGATATCTCAGTGTTCAATATTTTATTTTCATTCTTAGTAAATTGTCTTAAAAAAATTGTTTTGATTCTAATCATCAATGTATTTTTTCTGGTATCCTCTATAATTCTATAAGTTGTTAATATAGATACTAGCCTGACCAATACATTCATCTGCATCTCAGTCGTTTTTGATCTTCAGCGTAGCTTCGATTTCATTGAAATTATAGTGAGCTTTGTATATCAAACCTGCCGCTCTGGAAATGAAATATGGAAACTAACTTAATAAACTATGCTTGAAAAATTTTGCATATTTTAAGGTTGTCTATTTTCTTACAAGATCATATTGTCGGTTCCATTGAAGGTGTTAAAATTCGACATTAATTACACCACGCACAGTGCCAGTTCGGTATACTTATACTACTGATAGTAATCAACGAATTCTCGAAAGTAACGAGAATCAATATCACTATTACCAGCTATTACATACGCTGAAAATGAAACAACAATCCCGTGCCATCCATGGGGCAACACGCTTGACTTATGTCAGTGTCAAGCCCCCTTTTTTTGGATGCCAGATTGTGCACGAACGCCACACGTGACGTTGCCAGCTCTTTGCAGAAATCTGTGGCTATTGTATAATATTAGTATATGTATAAAATGGTATTATGGGAGATTTTATAACGCCATGTGTTATTAACATACATATTTTGACAAGAACTCATTTATTTAAGCAGCAATGTTAATAACACAGACCATTATAAAATCACCCACATATCCTGCAGTTATTTGAAATTTGGAGAACAGAAAAAATCTATACCTACTTGATAATATATTTTTATCTAAATTTTGCATTGTATGAAGATATCAATAAAGTTTATGAACCATATATTTTCATTCCTGGTGATGAAAGTTGCAAAATGTGATTACATATATATAATTTAGGTAATTTTTACAGCATCGTTAAAATATATCATACTTCATTCAAGACTTTATATATAATAATAATGCATTTATTTCATTGTTAAATAGCCACAGACAATAACAAACCAAAAGTAAAAAAACTGTATAATACAGATTAAAAAACCAGTTTTACATGCAAAGAACTCTTCCGAGCTATAACAATTCTTAGCTGTTAGAAATGATTTATGTTTAATAGGTGTTTTTCTCATTTTATCTACCACTTGTATAATGACTTCCCCACATGTTTTTTTTTTTTTTTTTTTTTGTTAAATCTGCCTAAAATGATTTATTAACTTATATAATTTGGTTAAGAACTCCTCTGTTGTAATTTTGTTTGTTGGGCTAGTACTTTGATCAGCTCGTCTGTTTACTAGTCCCTTTTGCACGGAATTCATGTTGTTTCTTCATTTTTTTGCTCTGTAAATAAACGCTATTATTATTATTATTACTTTTAAATTGCTTAATACTGGTGCTTTTTGAATATCATCTTTTAAATTATTGAATATTTTGCAACCCACGATTCACTGAATCAAAGCAATAACGTCACAACGTCAAATAATGACATTGACGTACATGGTTGCCACATTAATTAAAACTACTAGATCCTAGGACATTATACAAAATCTATTTTATGTCTTCGATGCCTTACCGCAACCAACATTAAATTCAAAATATTTATTTCGTCATGAATAAACATCATAAACAAAAGAAATTCTACATATAGAGTAATGACGAAGAAGGACAGTCTCTCGATTATAAAACCGATACATTGGACCCTTTAATACAAAGAGTCCATGCGAGAAAGCCCTGAATACCCTAAAAGTTCTTAAACAAAATATAAAATACAATAAAGAGGCAAATGAAGAGGCGGTGAAACACAAAAAAGGCAAAAACGAAGAGAGAACCCCCGGGAGCTGGCAACGGACGCGAAAAACAAATCTATACAACCTGTCAGCGAGTAGGAATGTAAAAACGGTATTTTTGCTCACACAAACGCTGCTAAAGTAGCTGGTGATTCTGTAACAACGTTTTTGTCAGTTTTGAGAATGTTTTTGACGATGAGCTTTTAACTGAAGTTGGTAAATTATTCCATAAGTGAACCGCCACATAGGCAAACGATTGTCGGAAGGAACGCGTTCTATACCTAGGTACGATAAAATTGAGATTATTTCTACTTCTCTGGGCACTAGGCAAAGGCACAAATCTTTCTCTTAAATAGGACGGTTGACCTGTTTTTATAACCCTATAGATAAAAGAATACATGTGATATTTTCTGCGATTCGTCATGTTTAATATGTTGTAGTTATTCAGATAAGGAGTGATATGGTTTCGATATGGAATTCCAAATGCAAATCTCATGCAACTATTTTGAACTTTTTGTATGCATTTTTTGGTTCGCGACGATAGCGAATCACCATAGACGACATCTCCATAGTCAAAAAGTGATAAAATTAAGGTATTACACAAATAATATTTTTGTTTGGCTGATAAATGTTTTTTTAATTTGTTTATATTTTTTAGTCGCATGTAAGCTAAATTTGTTCTGTTTTTTATATGACTGCCGAAGATAAGCGAGCTATCAAATATAATGCCTAGATTTTTTGTCTCCTGAACTATGGGGATTCTGTCATTGTTAATAGAAATTACTAAATTTTGTTCAAAATGTTCTCTTTCAGTACTGCTTTATTCATAACCATTACTTGCGATTTTGAGGGGTTTGGTTTAAGATTGCGATCCTTTGCAAATCTGTCAATTCTTTGGAGATCTGAATTTAGTTGTTGTTGTGCAATATGGATTGTGGTTTTATTGACAGGGAGATATATTTGTGAGTCATCTGCATATTGTTTTATCTTTGCGAATTTTATCGATTTGACCATGTCAGATATGTAGATTGAAAATAGCAAAGGAGATAAAATTGAACCTTGAGGAACTCCTCTTTTTATAGGTTTAAAATCGGTTTTGTAAATAGCAGAATCATTTGCTAACACAGTTTGAACGGTTGCTTAAGTATGTTTTTATTAGATTTACGGAGTTCTGCGAAAACCCCTGGTAATGTAACTTAGCTAGTAACATTTCATGATTCAGAGTGTCGAACGCTTTACTAAAGTCGAGAAGAACCATGGACGTACTATTTTTTTGTTCTTGATGATGTCTGATATCATCCAAGATATTAACTAATGATGTACTTGTGCTAAAGTTCTTTCTAAAACCGGATTGACTATCTGGTATGATATCGTTTGTGTCACAAAAAAATCTAATTTGATTATAAATATGCCTTTCTAAAATTTTGGATGTAGCGGGTAATATGCTAATAGGCCTCAAGTCTGTAAATTCTTTAGGTTCTGCTATTTTTGGTAAGGGTTTAACAATAGCTTTCTTCCATATTTCTGGAAATAATCCCCCCAAAATACATGTGTTGATTATATTCAGCAATGCATTCGTACAAAATGGGATACATAACTTTAGGTCTCTCATAGAGAAACCATCCTCTCCAATGGCATTTGATGAGATATTAGTTACAATTTTGATTAGACTGGCCCTGTCTAACAGTTGGAAGCTAAGAGAATCGTTAATGTTTACATTGTTTTTGTAAAAATTTATTAATTCTTGGGAAGCAGTGTCTGGTAAATTGTCGGTCTGCTGGAAGTAATTGTGTATGTCATTTACATTTTGTAAGTGTTCGGGTATAGTTGAGTGAGTTTTCTTGCATGTTATGTTGAGCTTTTTGGTAGTGTCCCAAAATTCCTTACCTTTCTTTGTAGAGAGTAAGTTAAAGAATGTATTTTTTCTCAGATAATTGCATGCTTTGTATAGTTCTTTAGTTGTTTATAATATTCAAAATGAGCCTGTGATTTTGATTTTTGAAATTTTTTATGAGCTTTATCTCTTAGTCTGATTAAAATTCTTATATTTATCCAGGGTACGTAAGGTTTTTCGGTTATTTGTTTTGTTTTTATTGGAGCATGTTTATTCAGAACAGTTACTATATTTTTATTAAAGACTTCTATTTTTCGGTCGATTTGGTTTATATAGTAAATATCCTCCCACCCAAGTAGAAACCCTTCATTTAAGAAGGATTCTCTATCTATATTATTGTAGTCTCTATATTTAATAGTCTTTTGTGATTTATTTATTTTTGACTTTCGAAAGGCTGAGTAAATTAAGTTATGATCTGAGAGATTTTGAGAATCTGCCAATGATTTAGAATCGATAGAGATAAGATCCTCACTAGCACAGATATCAATGAGGCTAGCCTCTCTTGTGGCAAAATTGAATCTTGTAGGCTCACTGATCCTTTGTGACAAGTTAAAACTATGAATTATATTTTTGAGGCGATTTGTGTATGCAGAATTATTTAAAATGTTAATATTTAGATCTCCTATCAGTAATAAATAATCATATTTGACACTGACAAAACCGAGAAAATTTTCTAAGGAGTCTAAAAAATAAGTGACACTCTCAGAAGGCGAACGATAACTATTAACTAAAAGATAAGTTTTTCCACCTATCTTAAATTCTATACCTATGGTTTCTGCACAGTTAATTTCCACATTTACCCTTGAATATTTCAACCCGCTTTTTATGTATAAAGCTACCCCTCCTCCTCGACCCTGCCTGCTTCTTAAAGTTGGATTGAGCCATATTTCAGAAACTCCAAAAATATCAAAATTGTATTCTGTCATATAATTACAGAACTCGTCAAATCCAGAATTTATGGATCTGATATTTAAATGTCCGACTGTGAAATGGTTTTGATGTGGACTATCAAATATTGATTCATCATTAACACTCTCCACTCGCTGACCCATGTTATCATTATCCATTATCCCTTATTTCCTCACTATTGCCAGTCCCCGAAGACCAATCCCCGTCATCCCAATGCCCCCGCGTCAACATATAACCTCTATGTAACACTATTACAATTTTACGGATGGTATGTTTTGTAAACGCAAGAGCTAGTGACTTTGGCAGACTGCAACCAACATTACAGTACCGTGCGTATCAGTGACTAGCAGATATTATTTTACTTTTGGAAAATAATTTAAAAAATAGGCTACAGAGAAAGGAATAACAAATTTTAAAATAGATACTTGAAAGTTTTACTACCAACTCAAGCCATATTTTAACATTATTACAATTTTATAATTTAGGTTAAATTACACAACATTCTAAAACAGCTATAAGAAAAATGAAATTTGTTCAAACTATTTATTATATAAAATTCTCAGAATAAAGACTTACATATAAATAATGGTGGCAAGGTATATTTTATTTGAAAGAAGTTCTAGTCACTAGAACTCTCTGAATTGCTATCACTATCTTCCTCATTCATATTTATAATAATTGTTAAAATTTCAGCTTGGTCTAGATATTTTTCTCTTTCCCACCATCTCTGAATTTCGTTTTCAGTATGTGATATACATTTTGACCAAACCTCGGCTCTAAAAGTTTATAAAGCTGCCATTTCGACCCACATGTTTGTTGTAGTAGGATATTGTTATGGCCCAAACATCTTC